GTGTGTGTGTGTGTGTGTGTGTGTGTGTGTGTGCGCCAACCTTTCGTTTGCCTCTGCCTTCCCCCTTGTCGCCACTCTTTCTTTCCCTGATTCTCCCATCCTTTTCCTCTGTCTCCCCCTACGTCAACACTGTCCCTACATAGCCTTGCCCTCCTCTCTCTCACATGCACATAAGTGGCTGCACCCCAAACTCTGTCCCTGATGATCTCCCTCCTCTCTTGCCTTCCTTTGCCTGCGTCCCCCCTCTGACTCCCACTCCCAAATGCTCCATCTCACCATCACCAATGGCCGTGTTCTCTGTCACCTCCCCCTTCCCACGCACCGCATTCCTTTCCCCCTCGTCATGTGTGCTATCTCCATCTCCCTCTTCCCCTTTCTGCTGCTGTTTTTGCCTCCCCTTGCCTCTCACTCACTCACACAGACATACACATATCGACGCTCCTCATCCTCGGTCGCATCCACCTGCATAGACTTTGTGCGGGACAAAAGAATGATCGCCCTCCCGGTGTTCTCTCTCTCTCTCTCTCTCTCTCTCTCTCTCTCTCTCTCTCTCGGCATGTGTGTGTATGTGCCAGACCTGAGTTCAAATAGACATGCACACCGAGGGACACACCAGCCATCAACAAGTCCAATTTTTGAGTCACGGCGACACATTCATTTTCTTGAAACACAGAAAGTCCAGAGGTCTATCTCGATTTCTAAGACATTTTTCACTGGAGATTCTGTGTATCTCGATTTCTAAGACATTTTTCACTGCCGCTCCAATGTATTGTTCACACGACGCCTTGGGTTTTCTACGTCCATAGGGCTGTCATCAGAACCAGTTCACCAGTGGCCGACAACCGGCTGTCAGCCCCATCAGACCAGCCGGTGGCCCAGAAGACGGACTTCTTACATTAGTCATTTCCAAAATGGTCGAGATCATGGGAAGGTACAAAAACGTTGCCGCATTCACCAAGAGAACAACATGGGTGGCAAGCTCCTTTTCATGGGCATGCTGTTTGGGTTCAACACTGCTTGACCCTTCGGCATGCATCATTACAGCAGGGCAGGTGAAGACAGACAACGGCACGAAGTGTGAGCAAACACATTGTCAGCAGGTGAAACACGGATACTGGTGTTGAGAAATCTTCCATCAGTGCCTAGACATCTTTCTTGGGTATACCATTCAGCCACATGGCGGTTTTTGTTTTCCTCCTTTTCCTTTTTTGGGGAGCTTGGCTTTTCTCTCATTTTGTAGACCATTTCTCGATGTGTGCGTCATCCTTGCAAAGGGGCCAACCTTCTCTGTATCGTTCCCGGAGCACTTTTTTGGGAGTTTGCCCACGCAAGAGCGAGCCAACATAGGACGATTCGGTCCCCATACTATGACCCACCTGCGTAGTGCCACCGACCCACATAGTATCACCTTTACAGCCGAATCTGGATGAATCATACTATTTCCCACACACAACCAGCCAACGCGGCCATCCAGCCCACATACTATGACCCGGCCAGCGTAGCAGAATGTGACCTGCATAGAATCACCTGGGCCACATGATACCACCCAGCCCACATGGTATCCCCAGTCCTAGTACCACCTGGCCCACACACTGCCACCCAACCAACTTAGTACCACTCGGGTCACATTATACCCCCACCTGCGGGAGGGGGAGAAGAGTGTGGCCGGGAGAGGGGGCGGGAGGAGAATGTGGCAGAGGAGAATGATGTGACCTCGGAGGAGGGATAAGGGGGAGTGGGATGGCAATGAGGTGGCAGAAAACGCGGAGGAGGGGGGGAGAGGGGGGGGGGTTGGCCGAGGGATGGGGGGAAGCGGAGGAGTGTGTGCCACGGGCGTAGCCGCGACGGGCAACTGCTTGTTGTGATTATATTTGGCCTCTGTGGCTTAATGGACCGCATATCTGACTAGAAGATAAACATGACGAGTCCCATTCCTAATAGATGATACTTGCAGCATGCTTATGCAGTGTGCATGCCGTGTAGTGTGCCAAAAATTGGTGCAGTCACAACAGTGCACAAAAACTAGTAAATAAACCAGCGAAGCTGCAAGCCCTCCCACAGCACTCATTAAATCAAGCCATGAAATATATTTGAAGTCTTAAACCACCAGTACACGGCCGCAGGCAACTGGAGAACCTTTTTTGAACCTCTCCGAAAATTTAGGAGGCCGAGTGTCGTAGATAAAATGAATCGGCGGCGGGCAGCCTCCGAAAGGGGCCTGCGGCCGATAGCTGGCATGTACGGGTGCTTTAAGAATTAGTGTATCATCTGCCTTCACTTCCGTGACTTCTCCAAATAGTGCTCATCTAGCTACCGCAGATAACGCCCTCCTGCTCAGCTTCAAGTGCGATAAACCTGATATGGTGGACCCATATCCATTGCATTGGGAAAGCTCCATTCGTTTTGTTTTCAAATGGGAGCCCTACATGCACCCCTCTATTCTCTCAATATGTGGCTTGGAGTCACTGATAAGGTCACTCCACATAGGGCCACCTCTAGC